GTAAGAATAGAAAGATTCCTTAGCCTTTTCTTTCAGCATGGTTGATCAAAATGTTTTGAATTATGGACACTTTAGAAGTTTCATCTTCATAACTCACACTGGCACAGACATGTTTATTGAACTGTTGTCAAATCTGGGGAGGCCACTACTAAGTTTCTCTCATGTACAGCAGCAAGAGTCTAGGACAAGTCAAGAATTCCTAATCTTTAATAACATTTGCACTGAAGAGTCTGGTGCATAGATAGTTGCACATGCTGCATTGCCCAGCATGTTTCTGACAAAAAAAACTTGTTTTGAGCAGGCACTGAGTCTTCCTCTCTTAAGTTCACACGTCCAATGATTAGAACAATTTTTCACGGACAAGCTTCTGGCTTCACACATTTCAAGTCTTCTTTCCCCTCCATGAGTCACCTGTCAGTTTCTGTAGGATGTGCTCCTACTGCAAAACACTGGCCTTGCCTCTTCAAGTCATGGTGCAGGTGATGGGCACAGTGGGCAATAGAAGTCTTCCTGAACACCGTCCTTACCCCAAGACGACCATCAATATAACTCAACTAAACACTGCAGTGCCTGCAAAGTACAAAAATTATATCCTCACTCCAAACTAAGTATGTTCCCAACTCGAATTCCCTTTAGCCAAATCCCCAAAATGCAGCAACACCCAAAAGAAGAAGTGTGATGTAGGGGGAGTTGGAAAGGAAAAGAGGGACAAGTTTCAACTGAATGCAAGGTATCTGCTCTTGCAAATTTTATTAAACCTGGGGAACATGTGAACGCATTGCCATGGCCCACTGGAGGGACTTGGAAGGGGTCTGAGGGGGCCTCAAGCTAAACCTTCCTCTTAACCATAAATCCTCCTCAGCTTTCTATCAACCTTTCATGCTCCTGACCCAACCTCACACACCTGACGACGCTGCTTCCTACCTCTGTCAGAGAACAGGAGAGAACTTGCCCAAGCTCCCATTGCCACTGCCTGCCTGCCGGTGGCCCACACCCCATTCTGCACTGTCCTCTCCCTCCCACATCAGCCATCTCTCCCTCTCAGATGAGTCATTTAACCAACATTAAAAACACATGGTAACTTCTCCTTACTCAAAAATAAACTCTCTTGCCCCTACACCTGTTCCATTACTACCCATTTCTCCACTTTTATGACAGCAAAATTCCTTCAGAAAGAGGCTCATGCAGCTAGGCATCCCAGTTTTGCCTACCCAGTGGCCAGTCCTCAGATGTTGGGTCCAAGTGGCACCTCCACAAATGGCCACTCCCTTCACCTTGAAGCGTGTGCAGCCTCCACCCTCCTGAGCTCTTCCTTCCTTGCTGGCAGCTTCTTCCCAATCTCCTTTACCGGTTCCTCACTGCCTCCCCGGACCTTGTAACTCTAAGTTGAACCTTGTAACTCTAAGTTGTCCCTGGCACCACCTCAGTCCATCTTTCTTCGATATACACTCTCTACCTGCCTGAGTGACTCAGCCAGGTTGGTGACTTTAAGTACTAGCTGTAGACTAAAGACTCAGAAATGCTCATCTGTAGCCAGGATCTCTCCACTGAGCTCCAGAGCCCTGTACCTGGGTGTCTCCTCCACATTTCCACCCAGCTGTGTAGTCAGCACCTCAGCCTAGTCTGTTCTGATCCAACCCCAGTCATGATCCCAAGTCATTAAAGGCATCTTCATCCCTCCATTTGTTCAGGCTCAACCCACAAAGTCAACCACAGCTTTGCTCTCACCCACATCCAACCTGTCAGCAACTCTTATTTGTCTCTACCTTCAAACCTAGTCCAGAATCTGACTTTTCTCAATTAAGTTCCCTGAGATCTGTACCACCACCACCTATGACCCAGATTATCAAGTTACTACCTACCTCCCTGGCCTCCCGCTTCCTCCCTTCCAGGACACTCTCCTGAGAACCCAAGGCAGCCCATGTCCCTTCAAAGCTTAAACCCTCCATGGTCCCCATCCCAGAGAAAACTCCACAGGCCCTGCACTTCTTACCACACTCATTTTCTATCACACAGTATTTAGCCCCTTCTAATATTCTCTGCACTTCTTTTATTTTGTCGTTCCCCACCCCCCACTGCTGCCCACAACTAAGGTAAGCAGTATTTTTGGTCACCACTGTATCCCTTTTGCCTGGAATGCTGCTGAGCATGTAGCAGGTGTTGACTGAGGGTCACCACAGCCTGGGCTCTCGTCTGAAAGGTACCCTGATAATGCTTGCAAGGTATGGACAAGCTTTCAAACTTGGGGCCTGCTCAAAGCACCTTCCCCGTTCGAGTACCCTCTCACATAGGCGGAACTTTCTCTCTCTTAGTCTGGGACCCCTTTCACCCCCCCAGTTCCTCCTGATGCCTGGTGGGCCTGAGCCTGTGGCCTCCAGAGACCACCTTCCCCTACTTGGAGGTCAGCAGATTCTCACATCCGACCCTGTGGTCCTGCTCCCAAAGCATTCCACAGCCCCAGCCCCTCATCAAGTCCACACTCCTCTCTGAACCAGTTCAGACTCTTCCCACCCTCTGCAGGAGGGCAGGACAGGGCTGCCCGAAGAAGGCAGGGTGGGAGGGGAGCCCCAGGAACCACAGGCCCAGTATGGCCTCCCAAGTCTGTGTACCCAACAAGGCACTGCACGTGAAATTGCCCAATATGCATGAACATAAGTCTCTGGCATGGGAAGCACCTCATTCTCCAACAGCTCAGTCACCTAAGCCTGAGACACCCCGACCCAGAGAAGCCCTCTCTTGTACATCCTGACCATCAGCCATTTGCCAAAGCCCACCTGGGCCCTGGCCACACTTATGTATCCTGGGTGGGGGCAGAGTCTCTGTGGGAGCAACCAGGTAGGTCTGGAGTCTGCTTGTCCCCCAACCCTCTTGATCTTGGCTCCCTATCCATCTCAAAGTCCCTCTGATAAAAACACCCTTATATTTAAACTGATTTAGGTCAAGGGAACAGTGAAGTTCCAGGCATCTGCCAGCAGCCCAGGTCAGGTGTTCCAGGCTGTGGGTTGCCAGGACAGCATACCACAGAGGACCGTATAAGCCAGCACTTTCCCGCTGGCCTGGCGAGAACTGACCCCAAGGTTTTCCTCAAGTGCTCAGCACACAGAAGGTGCTCAATGAACTGGGGTGACATGTTCCAAGGTATGCTGATTAAGAAAGGGTCCTGCAGAAAGGAAATCATGCATGGTGTGTAAGGCATCAGCTGCCAACAGCCTCCAAAGCGCCCCTGACCAGGAAACCAGTATTCCGCTTGGCATCCCTGGGTACCTGGTTTCTAGACTCAGCATCCTAACACCCTGGGAGGACTGGTCCCTTCTGTCATTTTTTAAAAACTTGAAATTTTGAAAAGAACAACAGAATATGTGTGTACAGTTATAGAAGGAAGAAGGCCCACTGTATAGCCATCCCCACCCCAAGAAAACTACTTACCGTTCAGCTTTCTGTTCTGCAAGTACTTCCACATTTCTAGACAACATACTTACATTGCTCTCTTGAACTTTCAGTCTTACAGATTATTTGTTGGCTTCCTACTGTGGATGATGACTTAGCCCTTTTACACTGTACACACACATGAACATACTTCCCTCTGTTTCCTAACACAGTTCAAGCACCAGCTTTTAACAGAGCAAAATTCATTTGTGTATGTTCACATTATTATTTGTACGTCACAGCTGAGTCATGCAGGGTCTATGGTTTCTCTTCCCTAATATTTTTAAATTTGGAATTAATAAATTGTCTATTTTTATTTGCTTAATTTTTTGTCTCAGATTCATGCCCCAACCTGTGATAGAAGCACAAATCAAGGGCTGACACTTTCGGACTCATCAGATGCTCTTGAGGACCTGGGGCCCTGCCTGGTGCAGCCTGGACACCACAGTCCCAGGCCTTCCTCCAGTGCAGTTCCTTCCTGGCCCTCTCTCTCTCTTGGGTTCCCATGATTCCACATCTTTCTATGCTTACTCCTCTTTTCCTGGAGCCATCTCTCAGGCAGCTTTGAGAATGGCTGCACAGGAGGTCAGTTTTTTGAGGCCCCTACAGACTTTTTTGGAGTGGTTCTATTGCTCTGGTATCCACTGGGGTCTTCCCTCTTGGTGAGCCCCCTCTTTGAAGCAAGGGGGGTCTCAGTTCCTCAGGCAAGGGGTTGGCTGCTCCTTGACCAAAAGCTCCTGCCCCCACTTCCGCACGGGGCTTCCTGTTCCGACTGCTGCCCACCTGAGGCTCTCGCCCTTTCCACCACCTGCTCTTCCTGCTGTGGGCTCCTACTGGCAGTTTCCCTGATCAGTCAGGAGGCACTCACAAGGCGCGAGGGGGCTGACTCACAGTCCCACAGCTCTCTGCCAGGCACTCTGAGCAGTTGTGGGGCCACCAGACCCCTTGCTCTGCCCAGTTGCTTGCTCACCTCCACCATGCACTTCTGATTTCCTCTGAGGATCTCCCATCATCTTCATGACAACTGTGTGGTCAATATTTCTGCCTCATGATGTGGGGAAGACTGCCACTCCTCTGCAATAACCCCGCCAAATGTTTTTAACATTTTCAGACATATTAAGTGTATCCTCTATACCCATGAACTCACTCAGCATATACACCATCCTGATCCTCCCTTCGGACAACCTTCACCCTTCACCTTCGGCATCCTTCCTAGGGGAGGCCTGGTTCTCCCCCCAAGACCCAGGCATACTCTCATGTTGGTGCTCATTTTTTCCTGTCTTCCCAATATGTAACCTCCTTGCTGCCAGCAAAGGCTTGGCCCAGCAGAACCACCTTCACCCTAGAGCCAGGCCCCAGGGTCTCCCAAGGCAGAACCACCAGGGGAGCAGCTATTTAGCCAGGACATTTACCAGACACATGACCTCCCACATCCACCGCAGACAGTGCAGAGACACTCTCTGCACCCAAAAGCACCCCCATCTCTTCCAAACTCTGGCCAGGGGGACCTTCTACTTTTTTTTATGATTATCCAGGTGGCACTCAGGAGAACTGATGAAACAGAGAAATCCAAACTTTCATATGATTGGTTTAATTTTTTTCAGCAGGAGGAAAAAGAATAAAGTTACAAGATTCTTTTAATATTTTCACAATGTTAAAACTAAAACTGAGCTCTAGGCTATGTGTGTTAAGTAAATCTAAAACACAAAAGGGTTAAATAAGATTTTCTCTTTTAAAGATACAAGAATTTAAGCTTTCCTTACATTTGACAAACTTCACAGAACAGATACTGCAGGGGAACAAGCCCCTTCCCCCCACCCCCAGCTCTTACCATCAAGAAGGGACTATGGGCTGCAAGCCCTGTGTGCCTCTGGGCTCCCCAGAGAGCCTGCTTCCCATTGCTGCCTCGCAGCAGCAGCTGGTGGGGCCTGAGGAGGGCCAGAAGGGCGTAAGGGTGGCCCCTTCAGGATCAGAGCTTGGCAGGGGGCCTAGGCGGGCTGCCTCACCAAGGATGGCCGAGTACTGGCCAGAGGGCCGTGGCTTGACAACAGTGGTAAACGCAGGCAGACCTGGTCCCTCTGCCCTGGGCTGCCCTAGAGCAAGACACTGGTCTGGGTCCTGAAGCAAGAATAAGGCTGGAGATTTTGCATTGGATTCCATTCTGGTGGGGATAGGGTGGGAGGAAGAGGTTGGGAAGAGCGTGGTTTCCTACTTCAGTATTTCAGATCAAAAAACAGTTGTAGTTGCACGTGTTCAGCTGTTAATTTGCAGACAGAGTTGAACTGTTTGCTGTGATACAAAAGGGAAAGTTGCTGGGTTAAACTATTCCAGGAGCCTGTGTGTGGGCAGATCCGAACTGCCTCTGCGGGAGCCTCTGACTCTCGCCAACCTGGATCAGACGGGGGCGCTGGGGCACTTACCCCGACTCCGGCTTTTGAGGGAATCTTAATCTTGTCTACTCACCTCACCTCTTCTGACTGGTGATGATTTCCTGACATGGGCAAACAGGCCCACCCACCCTTCCCACCTGGCCTGAGTTGTGGCTACTCAACTCCTCTCTGCCCACGTGAAGAGGCACAGGCTGAAACGCACGCCCTCCCACCCCTGCCTGGCAGAGCAAACACTCCCTCAGAGCTGGGCCATGGCCACAAACTGCTGCTCTAGACAGATCAAACCCACTGTCCCTCTGACACATGCTGCCTCCCCTTATGACACTTGCTCTGTGGTGGATGTGGACCGTGTCCTTGGACTACAGGGCCACACAGCCACGAGAGGCGAGGCCACAGCACCATCCTCTTGGCTCCTGGGGGCTGTGCAGGCTCCTGCTGAAAGGGGCAGAGTCCCACTGATTCCTGGTGGCCATGGAACACCTCTTTACAACCTCCCAGTGCAGAGATTTGGCTGCAGAGGCTGTTGTGCAGATGCCAGCTGCAGCCGCTGTGCTGTGATTAGCCTTATGTGATTAATCGCCAGGTCCCTGCACCTGGCAAATGGCAAACCAGAGCCAGTGGGGGCAGGATGTGCCTGCCCCTGGCTACTTCTCATGACCATGGGTCCTGTGTAGAAAAGGTGGGTCTCGTACGTGGACTAGTCTTGAGTGGAGCTAATTTTCAAAGATAGGCTATTGTTTCTCTTCTCCTGTGATGAGAGTTTTTTCAAAGAAAGTCAGGTAAAAAATTTTCATAAGAACCTGCCCCCCACCCCCATTTCCAGCTCTGTGGGAGAGCAAGGCCACCACCCACTAGCCATGTGGCCAATCTCAGCAGCCTCCTGTGGCCAAGGCACACGTGGCCATCAGGTATCCTGGCTACTGGGACTAAGTAAGTGAAGAGGTGAAAGGCCGAACACTGGCCAGAGTTTCTGGCAAAGCCATGTGCATCATGGGAACTTTAACACCAGCTTCTACTTCTCTATTAACTCAGAGTCTCTGTCTGGAACACTTTCCACTTAAGGCTTTTTTTAAGTTTGACTCCAGCAGTGACAGGTATGTGTTGTTTTAAATCCACTAGCCATGCTCAAAAAAAAATATTCTTCATGTTTTAATTTTATACAATGGCTAGCAGGCACCTTAGTAACCAGCCAGAAATCAATTTCAACCACCATCAACCCCTAAACTACAGTACCAGGATGGCTGGCTAAAGAAAGGAAACGGACTGGCTGTTGTCCGACGCGTGCCCAGTACAGGTGTCTGGCTGACTTTGTCCTAAATAAGGCTAACATTAGTGAACTAAGAACAGCGTCACGTGGTGGCCGCACCTGGCCTTCAGGAGCACCCCTCCCCAATGCGCTGGCAGGAGCGCCCCACTTTCCGGTCCAATTTCACCATTTTCATGATGGCTTCCTCTCGGCCACGGCCCATGTGGTCAAACGTACAGTCATGCTGCTCGGGGAGGCGATGTAACATACAGAACACATAACCTGCAACAGCGGGAGAAGCAGAGAGAACAGACTATTAGGGTGGCCTCCAAATGCCCAAAGCCCAGCCCTCTTGGATCCTGAGGACAGTAGGGGAATCTCAGTGAGTGGACAATGGCCACAGCAAGGGCTCCTGCTGAAAAGAGTTATTACAGCTCCCTCATCCCCTAATAAGAGAGCCAGCATTTCCACATCTCACACCTCCAACTCGTCAGTCTGATACGGTCCTTAGAACACCCCAGGGGCACAATCCCTGCCAAGGACGGCTGCTCAGACAGTGTTGCCCTGCCTGGACCCTGACGGTGGAACACCAGTGAGACACACTGGAAATGAGTGGATGCTGAGCCCCTTCCCTCCCAGCAGTCATACAGCAGGGAGATCACAGAGCTGCCAGCTCTTCACTTTCCCCGGCATGGGCAAAATGTAACACCCACCACAGGACACCCACCATTGCTAGGAGGCACAGAGGGAGCAGAAATGACTCCAGCTTAGGTATGTTCTACTTCCTGTACACCTAGGGCTTGGGGGTTAGGGGTGAGGGTGACCAAACCACAACCTGCAAGTGAGTGACGGCTGTCACAGGAAAAGGATGATTTCAAGTGCTGTGCAAGACATTACATATAGATAGAGGAGAGAATAGAAATGCTGAGCTCTAGTCACCATCTCAAAGGAACCTGATACTTCTAACTCCACCTGGTAGGTCCCCACACTCAGGGCTTCTCACTGCCCTACCCTCCTGGAAGTGGAGGAGGCTGCACAGTCAGTCCCTTTTCTGGAGCAGAGAGGTCCAAGGGAGACCCGGTGAGGCTGGTAGAACAAAGAATTGGGGAGAGGCCAGCAGAGCAGGGAGATGGTACAGATGAAGTCCCTCTGCAGGATGCAGTGAGGGGAGGCCCTCAGAGCATCAGCAGAGGGCAAAAGGAACAGAGCTGCATCAGGATGTGGCCCCTTCCCTTCCCACTTCAGGTCCATTTCTAGGAATGCTAATGAGTGGTTGCAGTGGGGGGATAGATGTCTCCTGGGTCTGTCTGGCCCTCTTCTTCAGGGAGGTGGGGAAGAGAAGGTCTGGGCTGGGAAGACATCTGGCTGGCACCTCACCTCCACTTCATCTCATCAGCTATTATCTGGCCAAACCTCCAGGCTCTGTGGGCCTAGACCAGGTCCAAAGGACCAACCTATAGGTGATTCCAAACCCTTTCCTAAACCTCCTCATCCCCTATGCACCTGGGGCAGGCATCTCACACCTGCCCTGCCAGGCCAATGCTCTCCTCACTCATTCTCCAAATGAAGAGCATCCCTTCTAAGACTTCCTTTTAAGCCCAGATCCCAGTGACCAGAATGAATGGGAAGTCACCCCTTGTAAATTGTGACTGGTCCATCTTGACATCCTCAATTTCTTTTCTTCTCAAAGACAAAGCGTGGAGAGAGTAAACTTTAGAAGAACACCACAAAGTTGAAGCAAAGACTGTGTTGCTGGATTAGACAACAGTTTCAACAGCCTTAACTTTTAAGACTAAATTCACCTACAGAATATTCTCAACCTACACTCACAGCTCTGCTCTGATGCTTTGAGTTCATGCTGTATACGGGGCATGTGCATGTGGCCCAGGAGCCTGAGTGACCACGCTGAGTCTGGACCATCCATTGTGCAAGAAAACACATTATTAACTGCTTTCCAGGGAGAACAGGGCAATACGTTTGACTCTAAATTGGGATTAGGTTAAAAAACATAACAGAGATGAATTTTTTGTCTCCTGAGAAGCTGAGCTCCCACTTGGTCCAAAGGCAAAGTTAAGATTAATGAGCTCATGTGTTATATTTACTGATAAGTTCATTACTCGAAGATATTGGATACCAGTTGTCTTTCTCCTAAAGGATTTCACAGCAGAAGCATAGATGACCTCAATATGCATCTTCCTTCTATCTAACAAGCTTTTTGGAACAAAGCCCACCTGGTGGGGGAGAATTTGCTACCAGGCTGGGGCTTGGGGTGGGGGCAGAAGTACTAGGGTGGCCAGAAATGTGTGCAGCCACCTCTGTCACCAAGTCCTGACATATTTCTGTACCATCAGCATCTATAGTAAAGGGCTGAATGACCCCTGCTGTCCCTTCCCCTCCCTTTCTTCAAGATACTGGGATGATATAGAATAAGGTCCCAGGGTCTCTTCTCTCCTTCTGATGAATGGCAGTTGGCTGAATAAAAGTTAACAGAAAATGGATTACCCTGAAATTTACTTTGCCCAGCTCAGTCTAACACCTCATTAGTCAAAAGCAGACTAGGGTGGAGAGGAGAGGCTTCAGATTTGTCCTCACTACATCCCCACCCCCCAGCTTTGCTTAGCTTGACTTCCACCAGGTAGGAGGCTGCCACCTTGGTGGATTTGAGAGCCCCAGGCTCTGTCTGGAGAAGGAAATAGGGTGTGACAACCATATCAATTCCCCAATATTCTTTCTATCTGCTCAAGGATTCTCCATCTAGTCCCAAACACCTTATTTCTCTTTCCAAGTTCTGCCAACCTCGGTTAGAAACACCTTGACATTTGGCTTTGATATTTTAAAAGTGAAAACCACTGAACAGCAGCTAAATTTTGGGAGCAGTGCTGGTAACAATGAAAATATACAATATTGGAATTTACTGGGGAAAAGTCGGGGGAAAATTTCAGAAGCTAATTTCCCAAGTTGCTGTACTGAAGCTAGTAGATGGCATAAATTAAGTTCAATTCCATCTCCTGTCAGGATCACTCACCAAGAGGAGGTTACATGTGAGAGCCTGTCCCAATGCTGAGTAGGCATTATTTCCCCATAGCAGCCAAATGGCAGAATGCATCTCAGTGTCAGTAGCTAGGAGCTGGCAGTTCTGGACAGGGCGGAGGATGGGAATAACTGGTAGGTGGGACAAATCTTTATCTTCTTTCCTTGGTATTCACAGATCTATTTCCAGAAACCAGGGCAAGTGTCATAAACTTTCAATTACTCTCTGAATTTTTCAGACCAAGGTGGGTATGGAAGGAGATGAGTTCTGGCTGCTGTGGAAGATGACTGCTCTTAATTTCAGTAATGAATGCAGGGCAGTTTCAAATCACAACGGGATATGCCACCTCCGTCCTGGCTAGGCCATCCTCCACACCATTCACCAGAAACCAATGGGGCCTTTTCCAGAGGGGGTCTAGCAAGGCAGTGTCAGAAGGGCTGAAAGCACAACAGGCACTGAACTGCTCCATTACCTGCAACATGGGCTTTAACATTATCACCCAGGGTACTGTAGGGAAGGCCCCCACCCCCTTCCCCTACTGTTCTATGAGGATCGCTGCCTGCTGCTTCACCCCAGATATGTCTGGCCTTGAGAAACCTGTTGTACCCATGAGAAAGGAGCTAGGTAAGGGCCATGAAGGCCACATGCATACGCATCTTAAAACACTTATGTGACCATGAATTAGCAGTATAGCAGTATAAGAAGTACAGCTATGTGCAGAATAAAGTGGCCTGTTTAAGCACCCTCCATGATGACTCTCGCTGCCTTCTTTGCTCTTTGCGTTGCCCCCAAACCTCAAAGGCAACCCCCAGACTCTGACAGGTACCATGCAGTGTGTGTGATTTTAAAGTTATACATATCAAAACTGGACTCACTCACTCATTCAGCTATATACCATCCATACCCTCATTCTCCTTGTTGCCGCACAGTCCAACACGTTGTAACTATAAGACCAATTTCAATATACATCTGTTTTAGATACCATACAGTGTGTAGGAGCAAGAAGGAGCAGAATATGATTAAAGGGATGCAGACCTCCCAAAAGAGAGGAGAACACCCATAGCAAAAAAAGTTTTTGAAAATATGATGTGCCTGCTAATGTGGTTTCGCCTCAGCCCTTGTTCCTGCTGTCACATGACTGGCTGCCCTGCTCCTTGGAGCCCTACATTACTGATTTTCCATAAATACTGGCCTAGGAGGAGGCCACAGAACTCCTTTAAGGCTGCTGGAGTTGTTTTCAGTAAATCTGCACAGAATGCTCAAGAACTTGTGCAGGCGTTTCTTTGCCTGCTGGTGCTGCAGAGCGATTTGGGATGAGCCCTTGATTAAAAAGGGCGGGTGAAGCAGCAGCTCTGTGAGCACTTTTGTTCCATGGCTGCCCCCTCTCCGCCTGCCCCTACCTGGCTTTTGACAGGCCATCCTGGGCATGGGAAGAGGGAGAGGAGGCACAAGTGGGGAGACCAAAACACAGCAGGTGATACCAGTCAGATCCCTGTGAGCTGGGCTGTAAGGTCTCCACAGGGTTTCCAGCAGCTGTACCCTCAGTTTGAAAAAAACCTTCTATAACTAAGTAAGCAGCATCAGGAAGGGAGGAAGAGGATGCCTGCCTGGATGGCTGCAGTGGCTGGCCACCCAGGGCTCCTCCCAGGACCCGGCAAAAAGCCTGTGGTTGTGGACAGCAAGAGATGGAGGGAAAGCAGGAGCTTCCTGGACTGTCATATCAGAGGCACAAGATTAGAGCACCAGGCCGAAAAGTACTATTCAAGACCTATCTAGTCCTCTGTTCCAAAAGGACTCCATGTGAATGAGAAATGAGGAAGGCAGCTTTCAGGTTACTGCCCATAAACAGAGAGGCCTGGGGGGATTCTGGTGGGAGGGCAGACATGGCACTGGAGGCCGCTCACTAGGTAGAATCATGCACAACCAGACTCGGCTCCCCTGACACAGAATTGGGGCTTATGGCCCCAATAAGCCACATGTCACATAGACCTGAAGATGCTCAAGTTGGATAGCCCCCAAAACACATTCCCAGTGGAAAACAGGACTGATGCTCATTCTTCCAACACGCATAAAAGCCCAACAAGCAGGCTTCTAATAATGCTCATATGGTGAGAATCAAACTTCTGACCCTTCAGCTTTTAAAGCTACATCTGAAAGTCATACAATTCATTCAGATGCCTTCATCAACAGCTAAATCTCACCTCTGCTTACACAAGGAGGAGTGTAGGTATTTTAAGACTAAATAAACAGG